AAGTACTTTAAGAAATACTTTTCTTGCAATTGGACTCCCCATACTATATCCAATAACATCAACTTGTGAATTTGAATAGGTCGTCACTGCTTTAAGCATTAGCCTTATCTAAAAAAATTTTTGCACTATTCTATATATGAAGATTTACATTTGATAAGTTTGGACAGTGTTATGCCTTAGGAATATTCAACCCTAGCTAATAAATCTGTAAAATAAACAGAAAATTGTATAAACAAAGAATTAACATATATGTAGGTGTACTTATTTTGTCATTTATCACAATTTCCAAATTATTTCGAGGGACTTACCAATTTTACATGTTTACACTCCATTGAATCTTTTGTCCAATGTAGCTTTCCAAATGAATAACTAGTTGCAAAAACTTCATTATCACTATATCCGTTAAACAAAAAATATTGTCTAATATTTTCGTATTCACCAGCTATTGTACTTAATCCGTGGACTAAAATGACAGGTCTATGATGTACTCTAGACTTTTTAAATAATTTTTCTATATCAAAATTGCTGCTGCGTTCTATCCTTATTTCTCCACCTCCAAAACTTCCTCCTGGGCCTAAATCTCTTCTTGCTAATAATTTCTCTGCTTCATTTCCAAAATTTTCTCTGATGAATGAGCTAAATGGTTCTGATATTGTGCCAAATACGTTGTTAATTAACTTTAATAAATGAATAAAAATAAGATAATTTTTGAAGTAAATTTTGTTAATTGCTTGCATATTTGAAATGAATGTTTGTATTTTTTAATTTTATTTAATTTCTTAAATTATATATGTTAATTAGAATAATAGTTTTTTTATAAGATTAAAGAATTTAACAAAAGTAGGGTTGGTAAAATTTAAATAAAGTCACGTTTTCCTTACAGTAATCGTGTAACTGAGGAGAACTCTCCTTCGGGATATAAGAGAAGCCTATAAATCTTCATTTTTGTTAACCTAGACACCAGAAAGACCGAAAATTTTAATTTTTTGCTTTTTTCTCAAGTACGACTAATTAAGAGGTACGAGGCCAAAAAATCTAATTACGAAATACAAGTACGATGTCAAAGAATGGGATGGTACATAGTAATCTGTAATGTATTGGCACATTTAAATAAACAAATATAGGTATAATTTATATAAAATCATGAGTTGTTAAATAATTTTATCAAGATTTCTTTTTTAAAGGCCATAAATTTTAAAACATTAAACATTAACTACAATTTCAACAACAAAAAATTAAATATAAACTATAATATATGAAAACTTGTTTAAATAAATTTTTAACTTTTTCGGTACTTTTTTTCAGTTTAATTTGCAATAAATTTATTTACTTAATCTGGCTGACACGGAAATAAAACTTGAAAGGAAATGATTGATTAAATTTAGTTTTGAAATAATTTAATTAATTAAAAAATATACTATAAACTATAAAATAAATTAAATAAATATTTTAATAAAATAAATATATTAGGGTGAAACATAAATAATTAGCCCCCCTTGTGGTAAAAGGATTAAATAATTATTAAAATTCAACTAAATGTTTTCAGGCTTTGAATAATATTTTTCTATGATCCTAAAAGAGCTGCCTATTTTATTACAAAAAATTAGTATCCTAGGATTAGGTTGGCAGGAGTTAGAGGTAAAATACTAAAACTTGTGTTTATGAAAGAAAGTTTGACTTTCCTCTGTTAAATTTGTGAGTAGAATGAAAATTTAAATAGATTCTGATAGATTATACATATACCAGATAAGTTTGTGGTTATTTAAATATTATTTTGAAAATAAATCTGCTTTTAAACTAATATAAAAGAATTGAAATTATTAGAGAACGAATATTATTTATTTGTTATAATAGAACCAATCCTTTTTATATTGTGTACAATGATTAAATAAATATAATAAAATATTATAATACTATTAAAGTATTTAGGTATTTATTTACATTAAATCGTGGCGTTTCTTTTTTTGGAATAAATTCCGTTAAATTATGCATAAAGTTATTGATAAAAATGATACAAAAAAGAAGATTAAAGTTTGTAAAAAATAGCTAATAATTGTCAATAAAATGATACAGAATTTGGAAAAAATTATGGGAAAGTAAACAAAGTTTACAAAAATAAGAAAATATATTTTATTCTACATTTATTATTGTTGAGAGATCTTTTATCAATTGTATTTTTAATTTATTGTTAATAAAAAAATATAATAAAATTATAATTTATATTAAATAACAATGTACCTATACAAAAAATAAATTATTGAATATAGGTGATTGCCTTCACTTTATGTATAAATTAATACTTTTTATATTTATTTCTAGATAAATATTTATTTTATTTATTTATAAATTTTACATTATTTTTATTTAAAATTAAAAATAAAATTTAATTAAATATAAAAATAAATATAATTATTTATATCTTCTGTCAACATTTGCAATATGTACAAAAGGACTCATACAAAAATTTACTAGGAAATTTCTTTAGTAACAAACACCTGCCAAATTCATTCTAAGATAAAATCCAGAAATAAAGATACTCCAAAATTTTTTTAAAAATTAGAGTTAAAAGCCATCTGTTTTAATGAGTCCTTATGGCTATTGAATAAAACATTTGCTTTTAATTCTAACATAAACATCTTTTGAATAATTTTATTTTTAATTATTTCCTGATCTGTCATGAAAATGAATCGAAGCAAATTTTAAAAAGTCAAACAAAAATAGTGCAAAAAGGTAACAAAATTTCAGATAAATATGTATATAATGAGTAGGGATGGGATTTATATGGATTTCCCTTTTTTTCCTGAAGATTTATTTTGTAAAAATTGTAACATTAAAGAATCCATTTTGCATAAATCAAAAAATTGAACAATATGATGACTTTCAATAAAAGGTATTTGCTGTATCCTATTAATTTAATATTTAATTTAATAAAAAATAAATACAATAATAGGTGTTGATAATAAAATTAAATTTCCAAAACGTTCAGCTCGTTTAAATTTTAAATTAAATTTAAAATTATTATTGGGATTTTAATAAAATAAAAATAAAAAAGGAAATTATTTTTGAAAATAAATTATTATTTTTTTCCTAAAAATAATTGATGATTTTATTTTCTATTGGTTTTAAAATTTACTAAAAATAAAAAAATTATTTTTTTGCTTTTTAACTTAATGATTTTTTAATTCTTCAGGTATAAAGATAATAATAAAATAAATTGTAATGAAATAATTAAAAAAATTTTAAATTTAATTTTGATATCAATTCAATTTTATATAAAGGATGGACTGATTGCTATTGTTAAAGAATTTTATAAATGAATTTAATAAAAAAAATGAATTAATATAAATTACTTTATAAATAAATTAATTTAAAATAATTAATAAAATAAATTTTTTAAAATTTTGAAAAATTAATTTGCTTCACTAATACATACTTACTATTTCAAGATAAATTAAGGCACTATAAATTTATAAAAATATGTATTTTTCACTAACAAATCTTATAAAATTTGTTATTTTGGCGCTATTATTTTGTTTAACCATTATATGATAATAATTTGATTTTCTTAAGATTAGCAGAAGATAAGACTTTTAAAAAATTTGTTTAATACACTAATATAGCTTTAATATGTAATTTTTAAAGATGGCTGTAAAATGGCTTAATTTTTTATTTTATCTTTTATCAGTCTTAATTTAATTTTATTAATTTATTTAAATTTTTTATTTAATGTTTTCATTTAATATTTGATGATTATTCATCATTTAATATCATTTAATATTGATGATTTTTAATTCAAATTAATTAACAGAAATATTTATTTTTTTAATGGAATTCATACATTTATTCTGTTCATTTTAAATAAAAAATAATTTATTTTATAACGGATTAATCATATTAGGCATTAACCAATTAATAAAATTAAATTTATACCACACATATAATGTGTTAGCTTTTCATTAAAAAATATTTTTATAAATTATTTTAATTTTTTCAAATTTATTTTTTAAATCTTTTTAAAAAATATAAAGCTTATAGAGTTAAGTGAAAATGCTTGGTTCGATAAAAATTTCTTTTAATTAATTTTTATTAGAAGCATAACCTATTTTAAATGGAAATTAAATTTCTTTAATTTTTTTTTGATTTAAATTTATTTTTTAAAGAATTATCGTAATAATGAATTTTCTAATTTTATTATTATTATTTAATGCAGCATTAGGGGGCAATCCATTGATAAAATGGAGTGGATCCATCACACAAGACATCCAAAAAGTGATTAATACTTGCTCAAAGTAAATTTATTTATAAAAAAATAAATTAACTAAAAAACCAAATAAAATAATTAAAATTAATTAAGTGTCGTCATTTGTTACGATATATCAGCTGAGAGAAATTTTAAGACAAACGAACGTTTCGCCGTAAATAGCAATACTTCTAAAGAGAAAATATGTAAAGAATCAAATGTTTGGCGAGGTTTTGAAGTTAAACAGTTTGATGGTTCTTTACATATAAAGGCAGATGTCTACCCTAGCAAGTAATTAAATATTTTAATTTTTTATTATTATTAAATAATAGCTAGAGTTCGAACACGGCCCGGGACCGGGTTTTCCGGGCCCGGTAGCCCGGAAACCGGGTATTTTGATAAAATCCGGTGTTTCGGGTTTCGGGTTTTCGGGGTTTTTAGCCCGGAAGCCCGGCCCGGGTCCAATCGGAAGAAAAAAACCCGGATTTATTTTTATCTTTAAGATCAAATAAATTTTTTAAGCTATATTATGAAATTAAAAAGTGTTGGTACACTCGATTTTTTGAAGTTTCTTAAAGGAGGAAAAGAACATGGAAGTAAGTTTTTCAATTAATTTAAATTAAATTAATCAACAAAAATAACTTTAAATAAAAATTAATATTTTGGAAAAATGAAAATTTTTTAAAAAATAATTTTTTAAAATATTTTAATAGAAAAAATATATGATGCAAGCACCATTGACAAAGAATATATTAATTTAATGATAAACAATCAAGATCCATTGCTTTCTGAATTTCCTGGGGCGTTCATGCTTAAGATTAGCATGATTGCTGGAAATGGTTATTCTTGGATTTCTTCTGTTTGCGAAAAGGTAAAGAGTACAATTGTGTTGATTTGTTAACAGTAGTACGCTATAACTTCAGAAAACTTGAACCGATTTAAAAGATAGCTGATAATAGCTAATAATAATAGGTAAATGATAATACTAGCTGATAATCGACCTCTCTGAAAATAATTAAAAAAATAAATAGATTAATTAAAATAAAATTTTTTCAGACTACGAATAAAATTGTACCAACGACAACACCACTAACATTAAAAACAACATCAACTGGTACTACAACTACTACTATAACTACTACTACAAAATCAACTACTGCTACTACTACAACTACTACTCTTATGACGACCACTAAAGGTAACACTTTTTAATTGAAAAATTAGCTTAATTATTTAAGGAAAACATTGTGAACTCAAGAGTAGTCCTTCTGATTTTAATTTATATGGTTGCCATTAAGTTGAATTTTTTATTTTTTCTCAAAATTATTTTTTTCAGTTGCTCAAGCCTTTGGAATAATACCGATATAGATCATGATGTTCGTGCGCCTGTTGATGATGTTGATCGGTCGATATTATTTTTTATATTTTGATACTTAACCAAATAAAAAATCAAAAATAGTTTAAGCATAGTGAATTAAAAATATAAGGACAAAAGAGCAGCTTCGAACCTCAACCCCTAGGCCAACTCCAAATGCTTTACTGACTAAGCCACAGAAACAAATATTTTAAAAATCTTAAGCCCTTGCCTAAGTTGCAGGTTAGCTTAGTTTAATCTAGGGTAGCAACCTGACCCTTCGGGGGCGGGTGTGTCGGCGATTGGAGTTTGGCGGGGTAGAACCTTCGAAGTTCGGGTCGGGGTTTTGCTAAAAAATCCGTCGGGGTTTTTGGGGCGGGTTGCTACCCTAGTTTAATCTATTACAGTAATTTAATGATTTTTACAGTTGTTGTAAAACTCGGACTAAATGTTTTTTGAAAATTAAACAAAAGAAAGAATGTGCCAACATTAAGATTTTTGAAATTTATGAGCAAAAATTAAATCAAACAAATTATGATTGGCGTTGTCAATGGAATAATAAAGGAAAAGCCAACATGCATTGCATTGATAAGAAATCTTGTAATAAAGAAATCTGCGATTGTGATAAGTAAGTCAATGGAAAGCATGTTTGCTTAAATTGAATTAAAAAAATTATTTATTAAATTGAATTAAACTAAACTTTATTTTTGATCTAGTTTTGGGGTAATTTTATGATATAATTAAGGCAGATAAAAACAGCTTTTTAAATAATTTTTTATAATTAAGAAAATTGACTGAGTGCCTAGCCGAGTTTGATAAACCTAACGTTAAGCAGATTTGCTGGAATCTCCTCATGTCTAAAGAAGATGGTGAAGTTGACACAAATTCACCCTTAAAAATTGTCAATTCAAAAACTAATGCCTTAACTAAATTGATGAATGATATCAAAAAATTGTTAAAATCTGATAAAAAAATAGATTTAAATGAAGGACAAAAATTATTAAATGAAACATCTGCAGCGTTGAAAGCAGATCAAAAGGCTTCTAATGATTCAATGGAAAACATGAAGGAAAAAATAAAAAGGGTGGAAAAAGAATTGGAGGATGCCATTGCAAAGGCTGAAAAATCAAATTCAAATGAGGATTGGGCTAATGTTGATAGAATTTCTGTTAAAGCTAGTCTAACTGGAGTAGAAGCAGCAAAGCTTGGAAGACAAATTGCTGAAAATACTGAAAAAGGAATGGAGGCAATTAAAGAAATGAAGGAATTGGAAAATTTAATGAATAAACAAGTGGATGGTAAAAAAATTTCTCTTTATTTTGAAGGTAGAATGTAAATTATAATTTATATTGCAGCTCAAACATCAGCCACATACGCTTATCCTACATATTTGTGATAAAATACAGAAACATGGAATTGGTAATGGCAGTAATGGTAGACATGGCTGCTAGTAAGTACTTTTCCGTTATGACGTAACCCCCTAAATTAATGTTCAAAATGTCGTATATAGGGTAGAAAAAGTTGCTGAGTCGAATGGTGCCATTCTTTTCTCCCGGAGATGCCTGTAGACCGAGATATAGGTCTCGAAATGTTCAAAAAACATAGAGCCATTTTGGAGAAAAATTTTAATATGCATATAATCCCTCTTTCGAAAGAGCTCATTGAGCTGAATCGAAAGATACGAAAATCATCGAAATCTGATTTAAAACTTGTTCGACCAGGTGATTTTGGTGTCTTTCAACTCAGCTCCATGAGCTCTTTCGAATGATGTATTATTTGCTTATTTGAATTTTTTTACCACAAAAATGAGCTTACTCCCTCTATAGTTTTTGACTATTCCGAGCCTTATATCTCAGTCCACCTTTTTATACCCTATATATGACATTCTGAACATTAATTTAGGGGGTTACGTCATAACGGAAAAGTACCTTATTTAAAAAAAATAATTAAAATTATTTTTTATTTAATTTAAAATTTATTGAATATTTTATTTATTCAGTTGCGGTGAATATTACCCGTTCCATATACAGCCAAATATTGTAATGGAAGCTATCGATGCCATCGATAGGTTAATCACTAAAATATTTTTTTTAATTTTTAAAAAATAGTTGTTGTCAATCTCGTCATGAATGCTATAAAGAACCACTAGGCTTCAAAGAGTGTAAAACTTTTCAAGGGTATCCAAAGGAATGCAGTGAAACTTCGTTCCGTTGTGGAAAGACTTCGAGTATATGTCAAAGTGTGTTATGTGAATGTGATATGTGAGTTATACATTAAACCTGAAAATTTATTTTATTAATTTTTTAGAGAATTGAATCGGTGTATATCAAGCTTGACCACAACAACTAAACAAAAATGCTTAGTTGGTGAAGCAAACATCAAGCCAACTAACATTTTAAGCGGTCAAGCTGCTGAAGGTGTAAAAGATCAAATTAATCTAGCTAAGGAAGCGATCAAGATTGCTGGCCACATCATAAATAAAGGAAATGAAGCCGCTAGAAATGCCATCGTAAATGTAATTTTATTTTTAAATTTTTATTTTAATATTTTGTAAAAGAATTTTTTCCATTTATTAGTCCAAAAGTTGAAAAATAATTTTTTCATTGATATTTTTTATTAATTTTTTAAATTATTTTTTATTATATTTCTATAATTAATCTTTTTTAGGGTGGTGAGGATGGTGGTGCCGCAATCGGTGCCTCATTAGAATCTGCATATGGACCAATTGGAACTGCAGCTGGTGAATTTGATAGAAAGCTTGTTGGTAAATATGTTGCTGGAGCTGCTGCTGATTATCTTTTGAAAGATGGAGGTGTTGTTGATAAGATTGGGAATAAAATTTCAAGCTTTTTTGGTTGAACTTTAAATAAAAATTATGATTATGAAATTGTTTTTTGAAATATACAAGATCGGAATTATTAAAATAATTTTTTATTTGACAAAATTTGGATTAGTCCGATCTCTATGCTCCATATCCCTTATTAATGTATTAATGAAAGATAGCTTTTATTTTTTATTATTTTTTAATTAAAATATTTAATTTTAAATTGATTGTTTTAAATTGAAAAAAATAAAGATACTTTTTTTAAAATAATTTTTTAAATATTTTTGAAATATATTTAATAGTTAAGTATTTATTAGTGTCTTATTAAAAATATATTCATAAATATTTTAAAATTAAGATCATACAAATTAATGCTTTAGGAATGAATTAATGACAAATTATTTTATTGCAGGGTGCTCATTCGTACTTTATTTGAAAATATGTACTTTTAAATCAACATTGGCAGAAACTGACTTAAGGGCCTCCAAAATTCTCAAAATTTTCGCCTGCTGCGCAAAAAATGGAAAACTTTTTGGCGCCTTCGGCGCCAATCAGTGGAAACAAGAAATCATTTATGAGAGAAATATAAAAGATTTGAGCACGAGTAAATATTTTCTAATATAATTTGGAGTGTACTTTTGATTTGGAAATTTAGTCACTATCAGAGGTGGGTCGGACGTAAATCGGAACTGGCTCAAAATTTCGGAAATCAGAAGGAAAAAACGTCGAAATCGGAATTCCGACCCACCTCTGGTCCCTATCTACTTTAAAATCGAGATTTTTGTACTTTTGATTGGCATTTTGTCGATGAGAACCCTGTTTTATTGCTTTTTTTCCTCATTTTTTATCAAAATTATTTTAACAGAAGGTGAGTAATCTCTAAGCAAAAATTTTTTATCATTCCTCAATCTGTTTTGAAAAATTTAAAAAATAATTGAAATTTTTATTTTAACATTATTTAAAAAAAACAATTTAAAGAATAGCTTTTGGTATTAAATAGTCAGAATCAGAATTAGGTCGACATTCTGAGTGCTGACATTTTTTATTCTGATTTCGTTTTTTTCATTTTATTACCGTATTTCTTATATTAGAGCCTCACACTCTAATACAGCCCCACTTTGGAGGATAGTTGAAAAATAGAGCCCCATGGGGCTCTATTATAGGGAATACGGTAATTACTTTTTTATTCATTTCCGATTTCCTGCTCCTCCTCTTGCTAATATAAAATAAAATTTATAAAATTATTAATTTACATCAATTATTCATATCCAAACCATATTAAAAAATTAGGAAATTTTTTAAATTAAATTATATTAACTGATTCACCATAAATATTTATTAAAAATAAATTTAAAATTAAATATAATTAATACAAAATTAAATTATAAATTCTGATTCATCAAAAAAATTTTTTAAAAATATAGCTTGTAAAATATTTATTTATTCATAGAATTGCTGTTTTCATTTTCAATTTTTCCTTTTTATTATTGCTATATTATATCGTGTCGGGACCAGGGATGGGTCGGGTCGACGATTGCGGGTTTGCGGGTTGAGATTTTTCTCATTTTCTTATATATGAAATTAATTTGAAAAATTGTATATGGAGTAGGTTAAAAAGAACCAGGAGCCTTTATTTTTGGTCCAATTTTCAAATTATTTTCTATTTGTATAGCCTTATGTTTGTCAGACAAAATGCCAAAAATTGGTCAAAAAATCTTAAGTTCTGTTGAAATAGCACGCTCAAAAAGTTATAAAAATTTAACAAAAATTACTCCGTATGCACTTTTTCAAATAGTTTCAGATATAAGAATAAGGGCAAAATTACAAACCTGCAAACCCGCAATCGTCGACCCGACCCATCCCTGGTCGGGACAGAACATGGAACGGATACGACACGGAACGACCAAAATACGGACCATACCAAATCACGGAATGCTTAACACCCATATTATACATATGTATATTGATCAATTGTTAATTAATTATTTTTAATTTAATTAATTTAATTTTTTAAATTAATTTTTTTAATTATTTTCTATATTAAAAGAATTTTTATTTATTTTTTAATTTAAAAATGTTAATCAAAATTATCATTATTTTCATATTTTTCGTCGTGATCCAGAATGTTGAAGGCAAAAAATTTTTTCTATTCGAATTTATTTTTTGATATTTCTAGGCCTTCAATGCGTCATTGAAACGAGTCAGAATAAACCTGCACCAGTGAAACTTGGCGAATGTAAGGGGAATGAGACTTTTGTGTGTATTGTAATTAATTGTGCAGGTTGTTTAATTAATACTAATATTTTTTATTTAAACTTTGAGTTAAAAATATTTTAATTTTTTTGAAAAATGGCTAAATAACTTTATTAGGTTTCTTTTGGACGGACTGTGGTTATTGTACAGCTGCTAAAATTAAATGGAACGACAACACAATATGTGACTGCTTTATGTGTGACAAGGATATGTGCAATGATGTTATGAAACGATTAAATGAGGATAATAATAAGACCGAATCTCAAGTTGTAGTTGCTGCTACAAACCCTCCAAAAGTGATTGTTGAAGCTCCTCCACCTAAACCTCCAGCCACTAAAAACTTTGCTTTTGGGAAATATTATGGCGATCAGTTTTTTATTATTTTCATGTTGATCATTGGACGTTGGGGTAAATATTTAAATTATTTTATCCATAATATTTTTTATTTAAGTTGGGCTTCACCTTCAGACTGGCATTGGTAACAAAATTAAGAATGTTTAAGAAGGGACTAATCTTTTGGAAAAAATATCGGAAAATAATTTTTTAATTTTTAAACTAATTTTAAGTATTTTATATACCGTATTTGTTTGAAATAAAGCCCCATGGGAAAAAAAGCCCCAATACATAAATATTTAAAAAATTTAAAATAAATAAATCAAAAGGTTTTTAATTTAAATAGGTAAAAAATTTTTATTACAACTTTTTTATTGTAGAAAAACTTTAATTATTCAAATATTTATTTAAATATTTTTATTTAAATAAATCGAAAATATAAATAAAAAAATATAATAATAAAATGATTGTCTAGTTTAAAAATTAAAATCATTTTACATTTAAAATTAATAAAATGAGAAATATATAAAAAAATTAAATTTATTATTAAATAATACATTAAATACATACCTATGTAAACAAAAGTCAACCAAAACTAGTGCCAAAAGGTAACAAAATTTCAGATAAATATTTAGTGGATAATGGGGTAATCGAACATCAAAACTTCAGTGCAGCTTTGTTTCCTTTTTTAAAAGGGAAAAAAATTTATTTAAAAAAATTTTTTTTTAATTTTTTTTGAAAATTTTTTACTTTTTTTAAATATAAAAATTAAATATATTTTTTATTTTTTATAAATTATTATATATTTTCCCTTCAACATATTTCTTTCCTTTTTTAAACAAATTTAAATAATATTGTAGCTAATTTTAAAAAAATTTGTTGAATAGAGAAAAATTTTCAATGGAATTTATTTGTTTGCCAAAGATGAGGACAATAAAAATTATTTCCCGTCCTTAAATATACAATAGGTTCTTCTTATCCAATTCACAAACAATTCCTTTAGTTATTTTATAATCTATATAGGTTTAAAATCGAGAGAGCCCTTAAGTTTATTTTTATTTTTTTATTTAATTATTATTTGAATAATATTTTAGTCCTACATTGAGAATTGATTTTAGAATTCATAAAATTATTTAAAAATTTATCTTTTAGATTTTTATAAGAAATTTATATAATAAATATTATTTAGTAAGCATTGGACTTTAGAAATTGTGAAGGTTTAGGTCGAAACCGATCTCTAATATTTACCGATCTCTAATATTTATTAAATTCCAATTTTTATTTTTTATATCAATTCTTTTCATGTTCTCATGCTTTAATATATTAGTCGGTTGACAATAAAGCATGGGAAATTAATTTATATATTTAAACATAAAGTATCACCCAATCCTTTTCCTTCCAAATGGTGCGCGATGAATGCCAAAAAGCAGGTGAGAATGGAGAAAGAAAATAAAAACACGCGGCTGGGTCCTATTTTGTTTTTCTGTGTGTGTTCATTTTCTTTTATTTTCCGACGTCCTGCTGTTGAGAAATTTTTGGAAAATTGAGAAAAATGTGGGGAATAAATTGTGAAGATATATTAGTGAACTGACGAAATACTAAAGAATAATGTGTGTGGGAAAGCTTCCGTTTTAAATAGATTTATGTATATCAAAATAAATTAAGCAAAACTTTAATTATTGTTAGTTTATGTAAAGAAATGCAGAAGAAAAAGCGATTTAAAAAAATGTCTAGATAAATTTACTGGCCTCTTTTATAATTTTAATTGAAAATTTTTCTAAAAAGGAAGTAATAAAATATCTGGAACTTAGATTACCATATTTGCTCGAATAATTACCCTGGGTAATTATTGTTTCGACCTCTCGCTGGAGTGGGTAATTAATCGAGAGGATGTGCTAAATGTGGGGTATATCTAAATAAATCGAGGAGGAGATCCATTTATTTTTTGATAAAGACTCTTATAATGTTTCAATAATTAAAATTGACAATAATTTTTTCAATATTTTTAAAATTAGAGAAGGAAAGGGAGGGGGTAATTATTAAAGAGGGTAATTATTTGAGAGAGGGCAATTATTTGTTAGTGTTTAACATATTTTTTCTTATATTCTTAATTTAATCGAAATAATTTGGAATCCATTTTTTAGAATAATTTACAAAAATATTTTCAAAAAATATCTGTTGTTAGAAATATGAGTAGAAGTAAAGAAGTTGAAATTAAATATATTTATTTATTTATTTAACTAATCCTTTTCTTGCCATTTTTTTCAATCTCGCCATAATTTACTTCCTTTCTAGACTTATCCCTTATGTAAAAAGTAAGGGGAGAGAGTCAATTATTATTATTTTTATACATAACAATAAACCTAAATTCTGGTAAAAATAATTCGCGTGTCTTCTTACGTAATAAACAGAAGGTACGGATCAGTGAATTTATTACTACCACTCTCCTGAAATTAATGGACATTGACACTAAAATGTGGATATTATTTGTAGTTTTTAAATAAAATATTTTAATAATTTCTATATTTATTTAATGTGTTTTTCTAACTTTCATTGTAACATTATATTAGTGATCGGCAAATGGATTTTTTCAATACCTATACCGGGGGTACCGAAAAGTACCAATTAAAAATTTCACGAGTATTTTAATTAAATTCTATTTTTAAATTAAATTGTATTTTTAAAATATTTTTCCTATTAATACTTATTTATTTTATTAGTCCACCAAACCACTTTTTTCATTTTTTCTTTTTCCCATTATTTTCAATTCCAGTAATTCGAATCCAAAAAAATTTGTATTATTATTTATTTTAACAAAAAACTTTTTTTCTATCCAACAAAGTTTTTGTTCATTATAAATATATGAAGGTCATTTACTTTTTTTGGGATCCGCCGGGAGTCTCTTTGTGTTTGCGCGGCATTGCCTTCAATAACAATAGATATATATATATTTATAATTGGTCTTTTCATGGTCATCAGATGAGCGCATCCTTTTTATTATAAATTTTCCTTGCACTTTTTAAAAAATTATTATTATTATTATTATTTTAGATTTTGGATAAAATTTTTTTGATATATTTTTATAATAATGAATTATTTTTATCTGCTATACACACTCATATACATTTTTTATAGAAAATAATACATAACCGCTGCAAATTTTATTTTTAAAATAAAATTATTAAAATGAAAAATTTAATTGTGATTTTGTTTAAAATTTAATTATTAATTTTAAATTATTAATTTAATTATTAAAATTTAATTTTAATAATTTAAAATTTAATTATTTTTATTATTTCTGATACATAAAAAATAAATTTAAAAATTAACTTTTAAAATATTTTTTGGGCGTGTCCGATAAATAATTATAAAAATAAAAAGATATAATTCTTTTCTCATTCGAAAGAAAAGGAAGATCCGCCCCATATTTTAATCCAAAAACACATTCATTCTCTAAAAATTTTTATCCTTTTTTCTTTTTACACCTGAATTATATTTATTTTGTTATTTAATTAAAAGTTTTTTTTAAATTAAAAAAATTTTTTTCAGAAAAATTTCAAAAAAATGTTTACAAATCAACAACAAAATATACCTACTACAACAACAAATCCAAAAAATAAAAAAATAATAAAATTTCGAAAATTTCCCTTTTCAACAACAAAAATTCTTCGAAAAAATTTAATTTTAAAAGAAAGAAAAATAATTAAAAATAAAAAAAATTATTTTTTAAAAGAAGAAAGAAAAGAAATTTTGGAAAAATTAAGAAAAATGGTTGGAGAAAAAATTGGTTGTGGACAGTTACAAATTGTTAATGTAAATTTTAATTTTTATTTTAAAAATAGTAATCCCTAAAGAAATATACCTACATATGTAGAATAAATATTTTAAGAAATATTTTTTAATTAAAGAAAAATTCTTTTTTTTAATTAATTTTTATTTAAATAAACTTTTAAAAATAAACATGTAATACTTTGGGGGATACCCCCCCCCCCTCCCCCTCTTTTCCCTCTCTATTTTTTTAAAATTAAAAATCTTTTTATGTCTAATTTTCTATCATTTGATAGAACTCTTCGAGCTGAGTCAGTTGAAACTAAAACCAATGTAATCTGGCTTAGATAAACAAAGTTATGACTGTTTTTTAATTCCTTGCAACGGCATAAAAATCTTTCGTAATGCTATTTATCTTCATAATCTTGTCCAGGGTCATCAAATTCAGCCAATCTTTGTATCATTCGATTCAGCTCGAAAAGCTCTTTCAAATGGCATATAATAATCTATATATCAATCAAATAATCTCAAAAAACAAACAGAAAAAAGAGGGACGGGTCTCATTCAAAGTATTACCAAAATAAATTCTAAACTCACGAGTAGATATAGGCAAACCGCTTACCATTTAAAATCACAAAAATTAAAATAAATTTTATTTTTTAGTCAGTCATCAAACATATTGCTCTACTTGAAAAAAAACTTCAAACAACATCATCATTTTCTACATCATCCTCCTCGGTACTTAGAACCAGACGTGGGCGAAACGTTTCGTTTCGTTGTTTCGTATGTTTCGTATGATTTTTACTGTTTCGTCTCGTTTCGTTACGAAACACTTTTAAATTTGTTTCGTTTCGTTTCGTTACGAAACACCTGTGATTTTTCAACGAAACGAAACAATTTTTTAAGCCTAAACTAAGGCCAAAATCTATAAAATTTACCATCTTTTATTGAAAATTTAAAAAATTTTCGCCTGCGGCGCTGAAAAAAAAAGAATTTCGGCTTCTTGGCTTTCCCAAATTGTCAAAATTTTCGCCTGCGGCGCTGAAAAAGGAAGATAGCAATTACTTATATACTACAAATCCGTTTATACTCTACTCCCTAATCCACATATACATATTACTTAATAGACGACAAATTCTATTACCGGACTCGCATCATAATTTAAAAATTGCGGATTGCGAGTTGCGGAAATACTGGAACCGGAACTTCCGGCGAAGCACTAGCTTATATCGCCTTCCTCTCGAAATGGAGATATGGAGACAATTTGGGTAGGCAATGGAGCAAGCTAGTGAATTTTTTGGCCTACGGCCTTTCAAAATTTTAAAATTTTTCGTCTGCGGCGCTTAAAATAAAATTTTACTTGAAAAATATTCAATCTTATTTGAAAAAAAGCGTCGCCAAAAATTCGGCTTCGAAAATGATTGACCCCCCCCCTTCCCCGAAAATTTTCCTTGCTACGGGCCTGGCTTATGGGACACAATTGTTGTAAATAAACCAATAACTAAATCATTTATAATAGAGCCCGGCTCGATACGATATTTTTTCGATATTTTTCGATATATATTTTTCGATATTATCGAAAAAATATCGACCGAGAAAATTTTGATTTTTTCGATATTTTTCGATATTCGGTATTTTTCGGTATTTATCAAAAAAATATCGACCGAGCCCTCCGTCCGGGCTCTAATTTATAAGGCATAGGCGACTAATAAAGTATTTGAGGTCGAATAATTGCGAAATAAATGCAGTTTTGAAAATTTTTTGAATATTAAAATGTTTCGTTTTGTTTCGTTTCGTTTCGTAAGATTTTGGTTGTTTCGTTTCGTTTCGTTAACGAAACGATTTTTAAAAAATTTTGTTTCGTTTCGTTTCGTCAGAAAAAAATTTTGAGTTTCGCCCAGGTCTGCTTAGAACTTGTTGAGGAAAGAATGGAAATATGAAGAAATGCGGGTATTTAGATATTTTTTAATCAGAAGATTTTCTTTTTATGTTCTATTTATTTTAATTGACAAAGAAAAAACAAAGTAAAATTTTGATTTTTTTAAGAATTTGTTGCAAAGATTTTTCTATTAAAATATATATTTTACTTAATAGTTAGTAAATTTTTTGTTAATTTTTTAATCAAAAATTATAAATTAATTTAAGGACAGTTTTGGATCTTAATATTCTCTGTATTTTATACATTATTGAGACATTTTTATGTCATTTAAATCTCGCATTTTCAGTTTTTCACATTTAAAAAATTTTTAAAAAATATAAAAAATTTGTTTTGCGGCGCAAAAATACCGCAGGTATATTAATTAAAAATTTATTTAAATTATTCTTAAAAAACAAATTTTTTAATCTCTCCAATTTTTATAAGAAAATCAGCTCCAAAATCATTCCATTTAAATCTGTTCCAAAAGCCCATTATTTTTAATTATTCTAAATTTCGAAGGTCTGTAGTTTTAGTATAATACTTTTTGTGCCTTGTGTGGATTTTTTAGATCCCTCCCAATGTGAACAACTTTAATATTATTATTAAACTGATTAATCTGTATTTAATTTCTTTTTTAAATGCTAAACAATTTTTTTGTTTTTTGTAAAATAAATATTAAATACATATTATTTAAATGTTTTTATTTTTATTATTTTTTTTTATATTGCCTTTTAGAATTTATATTAATTTCCAAATTTTATCTTGCTAAAAATTTATTTTTAATTCTCCAATTTTTTTTATTTAAATTGCCAAATGTTAGCAAAAAAAATATGTTTTAAATTAAATATATTTAGAAAAAACATTTGGACACTTCTACCTCCCCCCCTTCTCCTCCCCTTTCCCTTTATAATTTAGTATTTGGATATGCCAATCCAGAAAATATTTTTAAAAGCGCAAAACTATTTTTTAGTTATTGGACAACATTTGTTTGCCATTTGGTTATTTTCTAGATAATGCAGCTGTTCACTTCTTTTTTTAAATCTCCAAGAACAAAATTAAGGATTGCAAAAAGATAAAAAAATAATGCAGATGGGACAAAATATTTTATATAATACTTTATTTCCTCTAATTGAATAACTCTCTCTAATAGAATGCCCTCTTTTAATTTGATTAGAAAATATCTAGATTGCGCGCCCCTCAATTAAGTAATTACGGCATAAAATATTTACTATTTTTTTAAATTTAAAATAATCTTTCAAATAAATTTTTGTTTATATTTAAATGGATAAATTAAAACTAAAAATTATTTAAATAAAATCACGACGATTGATAGATATCAGAGGTGGGTCGGAATTTCGATTTCCGACTTCAGATTTCCGAAACCATAGGGCACGTGGTAAATGATCAGAGATCAAGATTGACTGGCGAAAATATTGATCATTTTCTTTTTATGCACCATAATTTGCTAATTTAAAATTTAATTTATTAATTCAGTTTTGAAAATAAACATTTTATTTCCGATTTCCCAGTTCCGATTTCCGGCTCTTCCGATTTTCGACACCACTGACTGTTCTGACCCACCTCTGATAGATATAATGAAAATTTTTTTCAAAGTAAAATTTATAAATTCGTCAATTTCCAACATCATTAATAATTTTAAAAAGTAAAAAAACTCAAAAGTAATTTTCAGGATCTCTTTTATTTATTTGCAGGTGTGTTTGTCAAATAAAAATTAAAAAAGCAAATGCCGCTCCTTAGGGAAAATAAAGGAATCGAGAGCCTTTTAAACATTGATGATTCTTTTTTAAAGAATATAATTCTCTTAGCCGGCTAAGAGGCTATATAAATTTACATTTTGGCATTTTTTAGTTAAAAAAGGAAGGAGGTAGAGTATTTTAGGCGGGCAAATTTTTCTTTTTTTATTTCTTAAAACGGAAATAGAATATAAGGTGAACAAAAGGAATTTTTAGAAAATAATGAAAGAATGGTTATGCAAGCGGTAAAGATGAAAAAATGTTTAGTTAACAAAAATATAAAAACATTAATGGAGGAAGGCAATCCAAAAAAGGGCATTTGATGATAGGCGGCATTCAAGAAAATAAATTTGTTGGAAATTTTATTTTTGGATAAATAAATATTTTAAAATTTTAATTTTAAGCAGAAAAATATAAATTAAACAGACGATATTTCTAAAAAAATTATTAAAAACTTTTGTTTTTTATTATTTTTGTTAAAAATTTGATTTTAATTTTCTTTATTTAACATTTTTTATTATTTGTATAGTTTTATTATTGTTACATAGTAGTTTCTGGATTTATTTGCACAAACAAAATTAGGTCGGAAGTAAATTAACAAAATATTTTTTTGACTTTTTTAAATAAATTAAAAATGTTTTTGTTTTAGAAATTAATTATTCTATATTTATTCACCGTATTTAGTATAAAATAATGGCAGTCATTCTATTTTTTGATACCACAAATATGGGCCATTTAATTAGAGGTTGAACTATCTAATATTCGATCGAATATTTTTCAACTTGAAAATTCAGAAAATAGTTGAAAATACTCAAAACATTTAAATTAATAATTAGGATTTGGAAAAATAAATTTTATACTATTGTTAAATCTGAGCCTTATGAAAAAAACTACAACTTGACTGTGAAGTTATACACAAAGACTTTTAATTAGTATCTGAATTAATTATAAGATCTGATATACATACAGCTATTTTCTTTGAGAATTTATTTTTAAGTAGTAGGCATGTTCCCTTCTATATTTATACAAGCATGTTTTATTTTTAAACATTTTTATAAAAAGAATTGAATAATTGAATTGTTTAATATTTTAATTATCCCCATATTTTCTGCAATTCTTTAAAATGCATATTTGTCTGTTCATCAGATTTTGTTGTTCTTTCAATTGTTATATTTTGATTATTTCTGATAAATTTGATGAGTTTAATGTAGACAATAATTGTAACAATTGTGTATAGATAAAGTAACTAGAAATAATTTAAATTAATTTTTTTTATTTCAAATTTCTGAATATTTATGGAAAATTGTGGAGAAATCTTATATTTATTTAGAAAAATTTTTCAAAATTTTAAAAATATTCCCCTAAAATTCGCCCTACCGTATCAAGTGTACTATAATAAAACACGTAATCTGTTGGAGAAATTTTATCTTTATAAACACGAATTAATACAACTAGAGCATTATATACTAAATAAATTGTTGCATAAGCAATATCCATTGGAAGGATTAAACGCATTACAAGAATATTCTCATTTAATTGAAAACTTTTACTTAAATTATAACCAAAAAATATATTTTTACTAAATTTGAAATATTTTTTGGTTAATTTTATTAGCTGATAAACCTCTTTTGTTTTATTTTTTTATTTAATTTTGTTATTTTCCAATCACTTAAAGCCGTCAAAATAACCATTAAAGTCGTTAAAATGCTAACATAAATTGTTTAATTGGCAGTACTTTTTGTTGACAAAAATATTGCTCCTTGAATAGCCATTGTTGGGTCAGCAAAAGCCATTAATATTATATACATTGAATAACCGATTGAAATAACCCACTAAAATATTTGAAAACAAATTCTTTAATTAATTATTATCTCACACAAAAAACATTCATAAAAACAGCCAATTTTTTCCCCTCATTTTCATATCTCTCCAAAAATAAAGTTGCTCTCAACCGTTCAAGCATGATACAAAAATGAAGGGAAGGATAACATAAAATTTGAATATAAAACGGTCCAAGTAAAAAACAAACAAGCCAGAGGGGGGTTAATAATTCTTTTGGGTCCTTGTAGAAAAGAAGAATTAACTTAAAAAATATTTTAAATAAACAATAAGTATTTATTTTTAAAATCTCACACAATAACGTTGCTGTGATGAATTGGGCAAAAGTATTAATGAAGCAAATGAGGACAATGCTCATAAAAAGTAACTAAAAGTTTAAAAGATTCTAAGAAAAATTTTAATAATTAATTAACGTTTTAAATAATTAAATTGTGGGACAAAGATATACATATGCTTTATTATATGAATCCTTTAACCCAGGGTATTTATTGTTTCGACCTTCCGCTGGAGAGAGTAATTAATTGAGGTGGGGTAATTATTTGAGGGAGGGCAATTAATACATGTTACACGGTAGGGTTGAAACTTCTGTATTCGATTTTTCTTTTTGGTTCCTTTATTTAAAAATTGCTTCACTTTAACCGGTTTGGATTTTTTAATTAAACAAACTTTAATCAAATTATTGAATAAATGTTTAATTTATAAAAATATAAACAAACCATTAGATTTCCATGAATTATAATTCGAGTTTTTAAATATTGTCGAATAAGCTCAAAAATTAAAATCAGAATTATAAAAAGAATTAAAAGATTTATTCTTAATATAATTGCATAAGCTGGACTTAATAGACTTTGTTCTAGATCAATAGCTAATGAATTTAGGTTTGTGTTTGATGTTGAATTAATTGATGTCATATTTGAAAGAAAATTTATTTTGAGGTACTTGACTAATTATTTACTTTTATAAATTAGTAAATATATATATGGAAACTTAAAAATTTGTCTGTGTCATATCCAGTGTCTGACCGAGATTTTTCAAGGAGGAAGACCACAATCAAAATACTTTATGATAAATAGAAAATACTTAACATACATAGACGAACGTGTAATCAGGTGTGGATTAAACGAAGTAAGTTCATATAGAAACACCTAATACCAATGTATAACTAAATTATTAAGTAAATTAAAATTATATTTTATTTTTATTGCGTGTGAATACAAAAAATATTAAATAAAAATTTAAATTTTTTTCAATTGCCTTATACTTTATTCCAATAAAAAATGTCAATTCGTGAGAGTATGTACAATTTAAATTGAAAATTTACCGGTCGACTAAAAATTATATGCATACAAATAAATTGAATTTAGCGGTATCGGACTTGGGACGCTATCAGCAGTTGTTAATTCCGGCACACGTTTTGTTGAACTTGATATGGATGTTCATTATTTCATCATAAATTTTTTATTATCTATCTAAGACTAGACAGTAATTATTAATTCAGAAAATTCACGATTGACAATTATTCTCTTGTACTTGAAATACTTTTTCGAAGTTTTTCGATACCCCCAAAAAGGGGCTATTCAATTGGAGAGGCATTCAAATACAGGTGGCCATTCTATATTCAAAATTCAACCGACTTTTCTTGTAAAATTCTATATTTTCGACTTTGATAGTGAACTTTCCTTTCTGTATCACTAAGACACTTAACACCTAGAAGTTTTTTTGCTACAAGACTAGAAAGGCTTGTTTTGATTGACTTAGTTACACATTCAAAATTTTCGATACTCTTGGGTCCCAAATTTTTATTTATTTATTTTCCAAAAATTTTTTAAATTAAAATATGAAGAAATTAGAGAAAAAATTTTCTTTTTGATTTTTATTGTTTCTTTATTTTTGAGGTAACACAAAAAGAAAAATTTTGGGGATTAAAAAAGAATTGAATTTTTAAAGGTTTAATCGGGCATTAAAAAAGAAGAGGAAAAAGATTTTTGAACCTTTTTATTTTTTTAAAAAGTTCCCGTAGAGATCTCCTATTGTGAATTTTATTCTAGAAACAAAAGGATTAAAAATCAAAAAAAAACCAAAAAATTTAACTGCAACAATTAATTAATTTTTTTCTAAAGAAATTATAGGGTAAATTAATGGAAAATTATTCTTGATAAAAATGAATATATAGAAAATTTTTAATTTTTAATTTTGTTTTATTTTTAAATTAATAATTTAATAGTTAAATTTTGTTTATATTTTATCTTGTACAAACCAGAATTATAAAAATTAAAAAAACATGCAACAAATAATCTTCAAAAAAGAGCTCATCGATGTGTTGAATGAGAGGTAATAGGGACTGTAAATATAAGTAGCAACGGTGGCGCTCGTCTCGTATCTTGTGAATCGCGTGTCTCGTATTTTGTAGCACACGCGCCGCCCCTGATAAGTAGGGATAATGTTCCACAAATATTATTAATAAACTAAAATTACTTCAATGTTTATTTCATAATCTTAATCAAATCTTCAATTTTTATCATAAATAATTCCAATTTTTTTATACATCAAGAAAACTATATTTTCATTATTTTCTCATTTAAAATAAAAAGTCCCTCGGGGGAATATGCAATTTCCGAAAATTCGCCAATTTCCTCTCATTTCTTTTTCTCTTTTGAACTGCGCGGCATTAAACAACAACAAAACAATAACTGCGCAAAGATGACAAAACCTAATTAAATATTCAATTTCCTCAAAAATTTCAACTCAATTTCTTTTTTGTTATGCCCAATAAAATGCAAGAAAATTGAACAGCCGATTTTCTTTTTCGGCATTTTTTGTAGTTCTTAAAAAAATTATTTAATTATTTTTAAAAATAGAATAACTTGTAAAGTCTATATTCGAGTCAGAGGTGGGTCGTAACAGTCAGAGGTATCGGAAATCGTAAGAGCCGGAAATCGGAACAGGCTCAAAAGTCGGAACTCGAAAATCAAAATTTTTTTCGGAAATCGGAAATCGGAAGGAAAGAACGTCGGAAATCGGAAGTCGAAAATCGGAATTCCGATCCACCTCTGATTCGAGTATAATATAGCTACATTCACTAAATATAATTAAAGGAAGATTTCCATTTTTGTAAGGAATTTTTGAAAATTAATTTATATTTAAAATATAATTTAAAATTTATTAAGTTTTTTTATTTATTATTGTCGAGATTTCCTCTTAAATTTAAATATATTTATATCCTCACATGAATATTAAATTCAAAACTATTTTTTTAAATTTTACCTTTTAATTTTTACAAATTTCCCACGGTTCCCCCCACTTCTATTTATTTATTCTCCAAACAAATTATTTCATCAAAGAAAATCGCTTCCGGTTTAATCGGAATTAAATACAGAAATTTACATATTTTTACATTCTTTTGTTCATCCACTTAAATATTTCTTTCTCTCTTTTTTTAAATAATATATTCGTTGGTGGCCAAAACAAAGCTAGGAAATTTATAAAAATTAAAATAATTGAATATAAAAATTATTTTTAAATTATTAGGGAACCTAAACAACCCCTAAATCGTAATTATTTTATTTAAAAAATTAAATTTAAATTTTTGTCAATTTCCCTACAGATGTCACTTTTATCTTTCAAAAAATTTTTATTTTCCCTTTGTTTGTATGGCACATCATCTGCCATTGACATAAGTATGCCTAAAAGCCTCAGATTTCACTTTAAAGAATTTTTGCCGCTAATAAAGCTTAACACCTGCCAAATAGCTAGAGAGAAAGAGAGAGAAATGTTTTTAGCCTTTTTTTAAAGAAAATCAGCCCCTCAAAAACAATTTATGCAATAACAAGCTATAACGGAAATTTCGCGCTTCTGGTCTTTGAAAACCCCTTTTTGGCACAAGCCTGTTGGGCCCAAAATGAGCAGCAGCAGAACATCTGTCTGTATATATTTCTGCCTTCTGTTACCCTTCTTCAGTGTTGATTTGGTGGCCAGATGTATTGGGTTGGTGTGGGACATCTGCTTAAATAAAAACAACAACAAAAAGTAAGACAATAACAACCCCCCTCTTTTTAATTTAATTATTAAAATATTTTTTTAAAAATTAAAAATCCTTTTATGAGTCTCATCTTTTTTGTGATTATTTTTTTAAATTAAATAAGAAAATTTTTTAATTCTATTTCAACATAAAAAAAGAGTAATTTTGAATACAGGGTGGGGCAAAAGTTCGGCGACAAATTTTATTTTGTCCTTTCTTAAAATTTACTTTATATTTTGCTTTGTTTTTAGATTTTCCATATTCTATGATTCACGCTCTACACATTTTATCTTGAAAATTTTTTCCTATCTTATAAAGTAAAAATTTTACAGAATGTTAAAGAATCGTGCTTCTATTATTTCTTTGTTTTTTAAAAATGTTCGAAAATGTGACATCGCTAAACGGCTCGATATCTGTCGTATGCTAGTTTCCAAAGCAATAAAACGATATCATGAGCTTGGAAATACTAAGGGACCATCCTAGTAGTGGCCGGCCGGTAACCGCAGTTACGCCTGAAAGCATAAACTTGGTCAGATGCCAAATTCGCCATTTTTCCGATCAATCGATGTGTAAAACGGCCTCAGATCTCGGAATGAGCCCGAGGAGCCTCCAAAGAATTGTCAGAGTGAAGCTTAGACTTCGGAGCTAAAAGATCAGCCGCGCATATTTCCTTATCTATCGAATGAAGCATCAGAAGCTTCAGAAATGTCGAAGGACGCAACATCGGAGGAACTGAAAATTGTTTTGGGCGGGCCTGGAACGAAATAACCGATGAACAATGCGCGACCATTGTGAGTAACATCCGTAAGTGTTTGGATGCGTGTATTTCAGTGAGGGTCGGTCATTTTGAGAAATTACTTTAACAAAATGATTATTATATCCTATTGATTATATTTTATCATTTTTTAATCTTAAATAAAATTTTTTTACAAAAGATTTTATTAAAAACATTTGTCGCCGAACTTTTGCCCCACCCTGTATAGTTACCGTATTTTCTCTATTAGAATGCCATGGCATTCTATTTTTCAATCACCTTCCAAAGTGGCATTCTATTAGAGACTGGCATTCAACTGGAGAGTGGCATTCTATTTTTCGATGTGTAAATTTTGAAATTTGAAAAAATTTTGTCTAGCAAATTCAATTGTCTCAATCATAACAAATACCATTCATCTACATCCAAGTACATTTCCTCTACCGATTAATCTTAATCCTCAAATCCCTCTATGTTCCTCTACTCTCCCAAAACCTCATAACCTTAATAACCTATAGAATTCATAATTCCCTATAACTCCCGATATCCCTCTCGAGCTAATCCACTAATATCTCTTCATCTTTCAATA